TACAAGAAACTGGAGCCCGAGGAAACTTTCACCGCCAGACCTACCCACCTACTGCAACTTTATCTCGATTAATCCAATCATGTTATGCCTTACTGCATTCGTGCGTCGGGAGATCGACAAATAAATGGATCGGGCCATCGAATGTGAGTGTGGTGGATCAAAAGTACCTAGTGGAAGCGATCAATAAGACTACAGCGGTGATTGGCGGAGATAAACGGATGTCAAAAGGAACATACCATAAGGCACATGAGGCATGAAGCTTTGGAAGCATAACTTGAAGGGTAACACCGTTTAGGCAATCCGGTTCAGGCAACGCCGCTTACCTTGGAGATAGACATCGCGAAGTGATATTCTTCTTGCTTATTCATCTTCTCGGTGGAGATGTGGGTCTGTGATTTACTGGCTCGCTCAATGAGGCTGAGTGTCTGAAAGCAGTCGCCCACGTACGCAGGGACGAAAGCATTGATTCCAGAGTCCATACCTACTTCGAATCCTCCATCGATTCCAGAGTCCGTGGATTCGAAAAAACGCGTGGAGGAAATCCGTCCACGCTATTCTCTGTAACATACCCGATACCTTCTTCGGAGGTACGAATGCACGGTCCAGTTTCGGTTACCATGTAGCCGAGGAGATACACCATTTTGTATGGCAACTCACGAGACTCGCTCAAAGACTGAAAATACTTCATGATTCTACACATTGTTTTCCGTTTCGTCACGGAGCACAGAAACAGGCCAGACCGCCAACGAAAACAATAACACTCCTACGACCACGAGACGAGAACTAAGGCAATATGGATGACGTCCGCAAACTCACGGAAGACTACCCATGGATCCAGACTCCTCTGGTCATCGGAGCCCCCATGCGCCTCATCGCGCTCGCAGACTTGGCTGTGGAGATCACAAAAGCTGGTACGCATCCCTCCTTTGCCCAAACGTCCAACCCTGACACAAACGTAGGAGGCATAGGTTTCATCGGTTCTGGAACCGATACCGATGACCTCTCTATCCACCTTCAATCCGCCCAGAAACTCCTTGAAAACTCGCCCTCTTCCATCTCATCCTCGACCCTGCCAATAGGCGTGGGCTTTATTAATTGGGGTGCCTCCCTTGCCACTGCTCTTTTGGCAATCGAAAAGTATCGGCCAGCAGCCGCATGGTTCTTTGCGCCCGCCTCCATCTCCTCTCTTCAGACATGGGCCGAAGGCGTCCGTAAAGCCTCACCGGAGACGAAGATATGGGTTCAGATCGGGAGCGTCAAAGAAGCGGTCGATGTAGTTGAGTCGGTAAAGCCGGACGTGCTTGTGGTCCAGGGAACGGATGCTGGAGGGCACGGGTTAGCCCAGGGCGCCTCCCTTATCTCCCTTTTGCCAGAAGTAACAGACGTGGTACACAACCTCGCCAGAACTCAGTCCATCACCGCCCCAGTGGTCATAGCAGCTGGTGGCATTGTAGAAGCTCGCGGAGCAGCTGCGGCGCTGACTCTCGGTGCTTCCGGGGTTGTAATGGGCACGCGATTCCTCGCTTCACATGAAGCTGTCATACCAAAAGGCTATCGTGATGAAGTCCTTCGAGCCAATGATGGAGGACAGACGACAGTCAGGACGAAGGTATATGATCATTGTCGCGGGACCACTGGATGGACGGAGACGCACAATGGTCGTGGAATCGTCAATAAAACACACACAGACTCTGTGGCTGGGTTATGTCATGAGGATAACAAGAAACTGTACGAGGAGGAGGTGAAGAAGGGCGATGCAGGATGGGGTGTGGAGGGCAGGATGACAACTTATGCGGGGTCTGCCATCGGACTTATAAAAGAGGTCAAGAGCGCAAAAGATATCGTGCAGGAAGTCCGAGAGGGCGCAAAAGACGTGCTGGGAAGGTTGAACGGTGCTGTGGTGGTTGGAAAGCTGTAGGAGCAGTCAAAGTGAAGTTTCTACAAGGCTTTACGTACCAAGTGTGTATTGTACAACATGCGCTTCTATAATACACCACTCCACTCCATTGAAGTCCCACAAACCTACATTCTTAACCTCACACTCGCTCTCTCGAGCTCTCCTATGTTTCCCATCCCGGCCAAGCTCCACTTCTCGGCCACAAACCCATCATCGACCTGGTGTCGTAACATACCACTCTCGGCATAGTACTCTATGATACTCCTAGCCTCCTCCTTGGTCAGCCCGCCAGCCTGAATAACATCTAGGTCGGTCGTTTTAGGATCTTGAAGACCCTTTAGCACCTCCATGACGCGGCCATCAACATTCCTGTACAAGTCCCATCGTGGGAGATTGTCAGGGCTATTTTGCAGAGCCTCGGCGACCTTGACGCAGTGGTCTAGAGCTGGGGATGTGGGTGCATTGGACCGCGATGTTGCGGCGAGTACGACACCGCCGTTGGGGAGCGACTTCTGGCCCGAAAGATGGTCGACAAAGTGCCGTACGAGAGTCAGGTCGTGGGCATGGATCGGCGTGAATTCAGCGGACATGTACTCGGATTCCCGCATGATGTGGGACAGACCGTCGATGGCGAGCATCACCGGGGGACGTCCAGGCTGTAACAGCTCCTGCCAAAGGGCAGTGAAGACTGGCCAGGAGACTTCGGGATTGACCATGCCTAGCTCGACCAGATTCTTCAATGTGGGGTTTGCAGGGAGCGGGAGCGGAAGTTTGGGGTTGGTGGTGACGCTGATGCCTTCCAGGATCGCGCCGTTGGCCTTGAGAATCTGATGGAGAAGATTTGCCGTGTACGTGTCTTGGGTGTACTGCGGCGGGCTGGACTTGGGGAGAGGGGCGTAGTCGGTGTGGGCGTTGACGATGTCCTGGGCTGCGGACACATTAGTCATGCTCTCTTCTTACTTTCTGCTCGCCATTGCCGCTGCATACCGTCGGGCAGGTTGACAACCACCCAGCCCCTCAACGTGGCCACAGCCAGGCCTTGGAGCAAGAGCGTGCTCTTCCCGCTCATCCTGTCCCCGCTCAGCACCCGCCGTATCGTCTTGCGTTGCTGGCCGTCTTTCGCGGCACCCTCCACCTCCTTCATCAGCCCGACCAGCTGCATCGTCTCCTTGCGCATCAGCGCGGCCGGCCGTCTGAACAGACTCCAGCCCTGCGTCGGCTTGAAGGCGTCCACGGCCCTCAGCGCATCCACAACGTCGGCCGGAAAGCCCATGACTCTGCCCTCGTTCGCGGCGTCCAGGGCGTTCGACCTGCTCAGATCCTTGAGAGACGGGACTTCCAGTGCGTTGTCGTTGGTCAGCACGATGCGCTTGCGCTGCGCCCTCCGCTCTCCCTGGACCGGCCGCTTGCCCGTGTCCTGCGTGAATCCGGACTTGCCCTTCTTGACATTGAGCGTCCTGGTCCCTCTTTTGGGCGGTGCCACCGTGCCCTTCCTCTTCGGCGGCGGGTTGGCGAAGCGCGCGGCCGACGTGGAGAAGCAGGCAGTCGGGACAGCGAGCCGCGTTCGCACGCCCTTCAGACACAGCGGGGGCGGCACTGGCGGCATTGGCGGCATTGTGGCGATGGGCGGGCTGCTGCAGTTGCAAATATATATGGTGAATATATATCTACATGGCGGCTGAAAAAGCTCGGAGGTCCGATCGATGCCACCAATTGCGCCCTAGCCCCGAGACGGCCTAGCGCTCTCTGTCCCGCAGCAGCAGCCGCCAAAAAATCATTCGGGGGCCTTGCAAGATGCGACCGCCCACCACGCCGCCCACCACGCAGCCTTCACACCCACATCCACACCCACACCCACACCCACATACCCTCACACACACCCTTGCCGCAGACGTGCCATGTCCGACACAGAGATGGGTGGTATTACGTCGCCGCCGAATGCTGCAGCCTCAATGACAGAGTCCACTCTCACCAGCCGACGGTATGCTCCCATCCGCACCCGCACCCGCACCCGCTGACCACCGCCAGACCCGTGACCGTCGACAAGCCCACGCCCTTGACCTTCGACCTCGGCAACCTCCTCGCCAACGACCCCAACCCCGTCGTCTTCTCCGATCGCGACCATCTCGAAGAGACGCTCTCCGCCAATGCGCGCGATGCCGCCCAGGCCCTCATAAACCAGCTGCTCTCGACCTGCGAAATCAAAGCCTCGGCCGACGGCGTGCACCTCGTGCTGCCCGCGCCAACAACCCTGCTTCCGCGCGAAAAGCCCGTCCCCGAAGAGAAGGCGCCGACCAAATGGGAGCTCTTTGCCAAGAAGAAGGGCATCGCCCAGAAGAAGCGCGACGGCAAGCTGGTATACGACGAGGCGAGCGGCGAGTGGGTTCCGAAGTGGGGATACAAGGGCAAGAACAAGGAGGGCGAAAACGATTGGCTTGTCGAGGTGGACGACAAGAAGGAGACGGAGTCGGGCCAGGCGCACGATGCCAGGACAGACGGCCGACGGGAGCGCAAGGAGAAGGTCAGGCGCAACGAGAGGAAGCAACGCGCGAACGAGCGGAACTCCAGAAAGTCTGGCTAGCGCGGTGGAGAAAAATTGGACCTGCATGAAGATGAGTGGGAGAGTGAGCCTTCTTCGTGAGAGTTGCATGCATTGGGCGGCGTTCTAGGCGGGATGAACATCATCACTGTTTGACTTGCGAGATATGCATAGTCTACAAAAGGCGTTTCAATGTACTCATTTGGGACGTGGTGTGCTTATATAGTCAAGCTTTGTTTCTCCAATTACAGTACGAGGCCAATTCCCAGCATTCATGCACGTCTTCTGAAGTGATTGCCAAATACTCCCGCACTGTCTTATTGAAACGTCCAACCAACCATCATAGAGCTCCTCGAACCACAGTGCCCATCCACAAATAGCAACATAGCCGGCCCCACCCCACGATCCAAGCCACTGCCCCTCACTGTCTTGTTCTAGTTTCAATGGCGAGGAAAAGTCTTCAATCTACTATTTTTCCGCCTTTTGGTTCTCTTGAAAAAAAAATCTTTGCTGTATATAGGCGATATAATTCTGATTTCGGCCATCTATCAAGCAAAACAAATCGGTTTTGTAGTGTAGCGGTTATCACTCCGGATTCTGATCCTCTCATCAGAATCTTCCGGCAACCCCGGTTCGATTCCGGGCAAGACCTTCATTTAGATGAAATGCGTTTTCTTTTTGCCCTCCTGTGGTTGTCTTTTGGTCGCTGGATAATGAAGAAGGAAGGAGGTTTTTCTTTTTGGTGGTGCGACTTAAGCGAGCTCACAAACCGAGTCCTCGCGTCTTTGCTTCTCTCTTAAAACACGCCTTCAATAGTACACCCCTTCGTAGTGTGCGAATCCCATGCCATACCTCTCACAGCGTCTTATACTCCCTTGCCCAAGCGTCTCTCTTCCCAACCACAACCTTTGTCATCTCCCTGACCCTCACGCTCTCGGGTAGCCATTCCAAAATAGCCATCTCCAGTGCATGTTTCCAATACGGCACCACAACGCTCATTTCCCTCCTAACTGCCTCGTCGACTCTGCCCACGACATGGCCCGCAAATTGTATAGCACTTGGCGACCCCGGCGTAACTCCTAGCCTGTTGTTCATCGAGTGCACGTCTCCGGGGACAATAGCCAGAACATCGATAGGAATTCCGAGAACACGAAACTCCCGGTTGTTGGAGACGGATAGCCCGATGATGTAGGCTTTGGTTGCAGAGTAGAGCGCCATGTAGGGGAGGCCCACGTACGAGGCCGAGGAGAGGTTGAGGATCAAGGAGCGTGGGGAGGCGTTCGCCTTTAGATATGGGACCATGAGGCGCGTTAGATGGGTCATGAAACCCGCGTTCAACGAAATAGTATCATCGATCCCGGTGGTTGGATCGAAGTCCGCAAAGGGTCGCATGGCGGGGTGCGTTTGTGGTATACTTCCCACGTTATTGACCAGTATCGTAATAGTTAAGCTTTTAACTTGTTGCACCAGATTCTCAATGTCCGAGATTGAGGCCGTCATGCAATTGAAGCTGAATGCTTTGATGTTGCCATTAGGAAAGTCCTTGCGAAGGCGGGCTTCTGCCTGGAGGATTTCCTCGTGCGCGAAGATGATGACGCCGAAGCCCAGGGAGAGCAGGTGATGCGCAGTCGCATAGCCTATACCGCCGCTGGAACCGCTGATAAGAGCCCATGATGCCCCTTCTTTGCGTTTGTAGGCTTGGAGTGGAGTGGCTGGGATGCGGAAGTAGAATGCGTAGAATCGGTAGATCTGGTAGAAGACATAGATGCCGATAATTGCGAGGCCACCATTAGATAGAATTGAGAAGATCATGGTTGTGAGAACGGCAGGAAAAAGGCAGTATATGATTCATAGAAAGGAGCGCTACGTACACCCATTCATACGGCATCCTGCCGGATTATGGTCGGGCCGCGCCCGCTAAGATCGCATGCATACCATAGTGAGAGCTTGAGGATTTGTTGGGACGAAAGAGATAGTAGAGTGAATATTAAGGGGTTGTTTGAAATTGAGATATCATTACTAATATATCATACTTAATAAGTAATATCAGTATATAGTTGAGTATATAGAAAGGGGAAGAAAGGGGACTAAAGAAAGACCTGAGGGATGAGGTGAAGGCGATGTTCAGGTCGAACGTTACCTTTCGCCTGATGCTTTTGGATGCTTCTATTGGACAGTACACCCAGGCTTATCGTCATCTACTCCCAGGCCAAGGTATGAGAATGTAGAAGACCCAGCGCCATCCCCTCGCTTCCATCAAAACTAGGTTAACGCAGAATCAGCGGGTGACTATGCAATAAGCATACCCATGCTGTTGTTTAGTGCGCAGCCAACTGTAAAGACAACGAAGAGGACGCGAGGGGTGTCACCAATGTCACGGCCCCGAGACAAGCAACCAGCGATCATTTCTTCGACTTGGGCCAGTTTTGAGGGTTCTCGGGATCGTCAGGCATATTCCCATCTACGATGTTGGAATCGTGCTCTTACGCGCCCTCTGATAACTCCTCACCAAGCGTCAGGCCATCTTGAAAAGATGGTAATCTATTTTTGGTTATGGTCAGCAGAGTACTTCGAAGCCATTGGGGATGTTTTTTGCGTAAAATAACCTCGGCCATGAGATGTATCGAGTGTGTCCGCAGAAAGCCATCCTTACCAGAAGGGAACTGCTGCATGGTCGAACATGGGTGTAAGATATTGTTCAATGTATAGGAAAGCAGCCAAGGGGGTTTCCCACCAGACATCCTGACCCTCCGTCGTTACGCTTTGGCTCCCGCCGCTTACCTTTAAAGGTAGCTTCCTCATTGAATCGCACGTGGTCGTTAGTAAACGGAGCATCGGCGTGTAGCATGCCAACCGGCCTATCAACGTCCGCAGGATGACTATCCGTATGCAGCACTTGTCCTAGTGGCTTAAGCCACCGCAATCGTGAATATAGAGTGCTTGTTTTTTTCTATGACACGATGATTTTCTCTGCCACTCGCTTTGCTCGCTTGCTGGTTGCCTGTCAGTCTCTTGCACCTAGTCATCTAGGCCGTGGTGAATCTCATGCTTAATCCGGTCCTGTTCTTATAGATACTCCTGTGAGACAATACATATCGTAGTTACCTTTGGAGAAGAGATGTTTCGATCGCGGGCCAATGTCATCATCTAGAATTGTGATGCCGCAAGTATACGCACGTCTCGCCGTCGTAGCATGCGACTTCTACTCAGTGTGACAGCGTTCGCGAGATGGAGAACAGGAACAGCAAGGGGTGGGCTCGAGACCGAATGTTATTTCATGAGAAGCCGAAATGTTGGACTACCGCGCCTCTGCCGTGAAAGAGATTCCCATAGAATGCAAATGACCGGACCACGCCCGGACCCTTTTCCCGCTGTCGGTATCATCGCTCGTTCTTCCCCTTGTCATCACCACTGCGGCCATCGCTTATCGCAGCCTCCTAGCCTCGCGTTCGGACTCGAGCAGGCAGAGAATGTCGTTCTCACGGACTGCCAGCAATTAGCCTCCCTCTCTCCTATCCTGTGTGTTGCGCTGCCGTACCTGGTCCTTTGACGTTTCGGATGATGCTTCGGGTTGTGTCGTCCATGAACTCGACGCGGCACTGGGTAACACCACCACGGGAGCCTGTCCTTTGTCAGATCCTGCCTCAACAGCCACGCTCGCTCCTTCTCATGACATCGCGAAGCCTTCGATATGGGCGGACGTACCGGTGCGGCCGAGAACGCGGGTGACCTTGACGAGCTTGACGGGAACCTTGGCGGTATCCATGGTTGCAATCTGTCGCGGTCAGCGGATGTGAAAATCGAGGGCTATTGTCTCGCATACGTGTGTGTAGTCGGGAGACTGAGATGTGTGGAAGACCGGTGTCGTGGAGGTTGGATTGGGCGTGGGCGTGCAGGTGACTGACTTACCAAAATGCTCGGATCGTGTGCGTCGGCTCGCTAAACCTTTCTGCCGTGCGCCGCCCCTCACCGCCCTCGGCAACAGCGCTAGTCCCAGGACGGCTACCTCGGTACGCGGGCATGGTGGGGGATCGGATAGCTGATTGGTGCGTCATTCCTCAATTTTCTGCTGCTTGCCGCAGCCGCAATCGGAGCGAGTCTTCATATTTTGGATGACTGGTAAGCTTTGCGACGTACAATGTGACAGTCCTAGATTGCTTACTGAGCTTTCCCGGGCTCCCGTGAGCTTTGGCTGAGCTTCGGGGCGGACGATTGTGCACCGCAAAACTACTAATCCGTCCACATTGCGTCCCACATACTACAGTTCGTGCATTACTTACTGTGGTACTACGGCTTCCTTAACGCAGACCCAATAAAACCGGCTCACAAAGACCCTCTTTGCATACACAATCACAGACTAGCAGCACGCCTCGAGACCCCGGCCCACCAACCCCCCTGGTGTGCGTTCGTTATAGAAAGATGGATCTAGTCAACTCGTAAGCCTCGCCCTCCTCCCCATCCAGCTCTGCAGATGACCATGGGCTCCGTCGACTTCACAAACGGCGCCAATGGCAATGGCAACGGCAACAACGTTGTTGCGAGCAGGCCGCGCGAGGGGAGTCGATGTCTGCCTTTCATATCTGACGTGTTCGGCTACAGTCTAAACGACCGGCTGCTGTTTGCGGTGCCCAAGAGTATGTCTTCCCCTGGGATCTCCCCATTCATCGCTGATTGGGCATGTAGAGGGCCGCCTGCACCAAGCTTGTTTGGATCTCCTTCACGGCTCAGACATCCAGTTCCACCGCCACTCGCGACTCGACATCGCTCTCGTCAAGAACCACCCGCTCGCTCTGGTGTTCCTCCCGGCCGCCGATATCCCCACGTTTGTCGGTGAAGGAAGGGTGGATCTGGGCATAACTGGGCGCGACCAGGTGGCCGAGCATGAGTGTGCGGTGCCACCGACAGACACAACGGGCGTGGAGGAGGTGTTGGACCTTGGCTTTGGAAAGTGCAAGCTGCAAGTCCAGGTGCCGCTGAGGGGCACGTTGACGAAACCGGAGGACTTGGTCGGAAAGAACGTCGTCACGAGCTTCACAAACCTCACAGAGCAGTACTTCCGGAAACTCGAGGCACAACACGAGACTAAACAGAAGACGAACATCAAATACGTCGGCGGGAGTGTGGAGGCTGCCTGTGCGCTCGGCGTGGCAGACGGCATTGTCGATCTAGTTGAATCTGGAGAGGTGAGTGACACCCCTCTGGATGAACTTTGCTGACGTCTAACCTGTTGTAGACTATGCGCGCTGCGGGTTTGACAGCCATCTCCACCGTAGTTGAGTCAAGTGCTGTCCTCATCAAGTCGAAGCACCCGTCAGATTCCAAGCTTGTCGACCTCATTACCGCTAGAATCAAGGGGGTGATAAGTAAGCCACATATTGTCCCTCCAAGGTGCACCACTGACTCCCAGCAGCCGCGCAGAAGTACGTTCTGTGCACGTACAACATTGAGCGCGCCAAACTCGGCGTTGCCTGCAAGATTACCCCTGGTAGACGTGCGCCCACGACGACCTCGTTGGAGGAGGATGGCTGGGTTGCGGTTTCCGTCATGGTCCTGAAGAAGCAGATTGCGGTTGTCATGGATCAACTCACTGAGGCCGGTGCCTGCGACATCTTGGTCATGAAGATCGACAACTCACGTACAATCTGATGTACA